ATGTTTTTTTCACGACTAAGACCAGATGATCATGATTTATTTTCGAAAAGACGAATTAAAATGTTCTAACTTGATTAAATTTTTATGTTTTTTAAAACTGTTAAAGAAATGAAAGTAAATGTAAAAACAAAAACAAAAAAGTTTAATAGATTTTTACTCATTTTTGTTCCTATTTTATTTCCGTTCATATTTTTATTCGTTTTATTTCTTTTTACTTAGTTTCTTTTATTTTTCTACGAAACATTCCATGAAACGCAATACAACCTATAGTTTGTATTGTTTTCAAAGAATATTTTTACTCTAATTGTTGGAAAGAAAATGGGACACTAGAGCATTATTACTTAATTTAAAAAAAAATGGTTGAAACGGAGAAATTAAAGCGAATTGTGAGTTCAAATAATAACATTTCCAAAGAAATGTTTTTTAACCGTCATGGGTTTGGAATTTTCTAATTAATATTTTATTATTTGTTAACAAATAATAAGACATTTGTCAGAAAACTCCAACGTATTATTCGTAAAACAATAAGTACTATTTGTTAAACAAATAGTATTAGGTCCTCATAAAATTTTGTCAACAGTGTCGGCGCCAGCATATTTTGGTCTTTGAGAGCTAACTTCCAGACATGGAGAAAAACTCCAAACATTTATAAGTATATACTTATGTAAAATAAGGATGCTTTGCAAAAAATTTCGATGATTGGAGCTTGGGAACAAAAAAATCCAAAAAATTTGGCCGAAACGTGAGAGCAACAAGTTGATGAAATAGTTTTTGTATTATTTTCAACTAGACTTATATTTATCAATAAATTTTAAGTTTCATAGTATTATCTCTTAGCGTTCAAAAATTATGACCATATAAAGTTTAAACCCCCATTAATTTGAGGGGGATGCAAATTTTATATGGTTATAATTTTTGAACGCTGAGAGATAAAACTATGAAACTTAAAATTTATTGATAAATATAAGTTTAATTGAAAATAGTACAAAAACTATTTCATCAACAACTTGACAAACTCATTGAATGTAATGCAACTCCAGCAATAATGTTTAATGTTGGTGTTCGACCTAAACTTGTACTTTTAAGTAAAGTTTTTAAAGCCAGAGAAGAAATGGATATTATACTCGAAGCACACTTCAGAAAATAATTTTATAACATGACGGAAATTTTGAGTGGATTTTAATCACAAATCAAAAGTTTAGTATCAAAATGAAGTAATTACCACAGGGCCTAATATTTTTCAAAATGTTTAGCGACTTACAGTCTCAGTGAATTCCCCAAATATCTTAGATAATGTGTAGGAGACACATATATAAAGTACATGTATCTCATTATACGACTGCTTGTTAAAAAGATTAGAAAAAGAAAAAGAAAAATTTCCTGAGATTCTAGGAAATTTTTCTGTGATCTTGACTTTTTTTTTTGGTACCCATATATTTTTTTTTTGGTACCCATAGAATTGTTAAGCTTAATGAGCTGGAAATAGTTGAAAGTTTAGCAAAACATCTCAAGCTAATTGTTTGCAGAAGGGAAGCATTATTATTAACACCTGATGACATATTAAAGTTTATTGTTACAGAATGATGCTCAAGAATGCTATTTAGCAAAATAATCTTAAGAATGCTTAGTTAAAAGGAAGTTGAAAGGACCAAGTTAAGAAAGTAGTTGGTAAATCTCTGGTGGATTTCAGTTTTAAAAAATTAATGTAGACTGATGATGAGCTTGAAATAGTTGATAATGTCTTGAGCCGATTGTTTTAGGTTGTGAAATGATTTGTAGAAGGGAAGCAACATTATTAACAGCTGACGACACATTAAAATTTATTGTTACTAAACTGAAGCTCATGATAATCTTAAGAATGCCCTAGTTGAAAGGAAGTGTCAAAGAAGGAAAAGTGATCTTGTTGGTTTATTAAGGTTTTTACACAATACACAATCTTTAAAAAGTAATAAAAAAATTATAAAAAAGATTTAAAAAGTGATAAAAAAGTGAATTTATTTTGCATATTATCTAAAACAGAGATGATAAATATGAATATAATGCTAAAAGAGTGTTTAGATCAACATGTTTATTTTTTACAAAGTTTAGAACTAGATTATCAAGCAGTTATCTGGATGCACTGGTTTTTCTAAAAGGTCATTTTAAATCACAAAAGAAATTTTACGAATAAAGTAAAAAAAAAATATTTGTTAGTATTTTCTTCAAATGAACGTTTCCGGGACCCCGGGACTACTATAAATAGTTCCCGATATTTAGCGATAGGAAAAATTCTGGAAATTCGTAGTCCATAATGTTTTTACTGTTAAAAAAAAATAAAAGGGGACTTTATGTAAAAAAGAAGTAGCCTGAAATCTGCAAGAAAGTTGATGAGAAAAATTTATGAAAATTAAACTGGCAAGAAGATGGTCTAAAGATTAGCTTCGTTTTACGCACTGTTGCAGAGGAAGACATTTTTGGCAAATGCAACTACTGATAAGAAATTTTCTTATCAGTAGTTTCTTATCTAGATACTCTATGCTTTTGAGAAGAGTCAAGGAGAAGATTGGAAATGCTTTGCTTGTAAGTATAGAACGCCATAACTGATACTTAACTGTCCAACCCTGTGTTTTGGTTTTGGTAGATAAAAAAGTTCTAGTTGAAACATAGCTATAAATGCTGCAAGCTCTGTTTGAGCTTGAAGTGCCAGAAAAACTTCAGCCTTGTAAACCATCAAATGAACAAATTGAAGAGATCTCAGAGTTTATTTTCGAGCCAAACTACCTTCTCTTCAAACGTTTTAACATATCAAGAGCAAGGATAAAAGAATCGCATAATAATAGTCTCAACACTATAATTATTTTTAACCACCCTCACCCTCTGATGCTAGAATTTATAGGATGGATCAAAAACAATCTGTTGTTAATGATTGTACAGAAAGGAACTACAACCTCGTATAAGATTTTATAGATGCTACTAAAGATGAAAATCATCTTCAAAATAATTAAAAAGTCAAGAAAAAGTTTCATTAAGGGTATATATATACGATTGTATGTATATATATACGGTTATGTAGATATATATACGATTGTATGTATATATATACGGTATGTATATATATACGGATTGTATGTATATATATACGGTTGTATGACCAAAAAAGAGCTTGGAAACTATGAAAAAGCTGTATTTTTTGAAAAATATTTTACCTCAATAAAATCTTTGGTTTGCTAACAAATACTAGTTTTACGTCTTTTTTTTTTTGTATTTTTAGATTTATAAATGTAAACTACCAAACTTAAATTGTAGCCATAATAATTGCATATGATTTATACACCTCTAATTTGTTTTAATTGTCCTAAATGTAACAAACTTGTATTTTTAATTAATAATGAGCCAGCTCTAGATTTTTTTAGAGTTGTTATTCAATCAAGCATTGGTCACTTTGCTAGCAAAAAAGAATCTTTCAAAAATTATGTTTTCTTTCTCCTAATTGACACAATTGAAGCATTTTTGAAAGACAGAATTGACAAGTTCTCCAAATACGAGTCAAAGTGAAGATTCCAATTTGACCTGGAAAAACTGTAACTAAAAAATAAACTTTAAGAGATTTATAAAATATTAAAAGAACACCTGACAGTAAAAAATATTTCAGTAAAAAATGGTGAAGAATTGTACAATGAAAATTCTACACGTTAGTTTGATAACTACTGTTATTGATAAATGGTGTGAGCAGAAGCAGAAGGCGACTAACAAAACACTATCATTATTAGAAGCACTTAATATTATCAAAAATACCATTAGAAAAGACCTTTTTACTAATCTGTGGATAGCACTACAGATTGCTGACAATTTATAGACAGTGACCAGCAGTAAACGTAGTTTCAGCAAGTTGAAGTTAATTTAAATCTACCTACGTACAACGATGACGCAAAGAAGATTGACGTCGTTTGAATGTATTTGAATGTCGTTTGAATGTATTTGATTATATTTATCTTTATGGTTGATTGGTAGTTGGAGTAAGTATTAAAGTATCTGTGGCAGCACAAAAGTTTACATACGCGACTATTACTGGAAAGAATGGGCGCCGCAACTACGTTTTCCCCGGGCACCATCAACCCTAGGCACGGCCCTGTTCTAAAGTATCAGTTTTTCCAAATGCTGACATTGCATATTGGATTTTTCTCTTCCAATTCCAATTCCAAACTCCTTCAATTACCAGTTGTGGTGTAAAGCAAGCATTTTCAATATTAGCAAGAGTTTAGAATAATCTCTTATTTAGAGATTTAATTTGTACTCAGGGCCGGATAAAGAGTCTTGGAGGCCGAGTGCAAAAACTATTAAAAAAATGTTAGGATGGACAAAACTGGTTTAGAAGAAATGAGGGGGGGGGGGATGCACAATCGCCAATTCTTATAATCTATAAAGAGTGAATTACACGCAAAAAAATCTTGCATACCTAGAATTTTCTTACATAAAAAAAAACTCTTTAGAAAAAAAGTGTGTGTGTAGGTGCCCCCCTCCTCTTGGTGTCGTTGGCCCTGAATGTCTTTGTAATTGCCAAATATTGTCAAAACATTGTCAAAGTCTATTATAATAGACTTTGACAATGCATAAGGCGAAAAAAAATCTTTTAGAATAAAAAGTAATTTTACGTTTTGCTGCATTCATTTTGTTAAATTTATTTTTAGGAATGGGACCACAAATAACTTTTGGCCCCCTAGACCCTTTATCTGGCCCTGAATACAAATTATTCTTTGAGTTTGTACTCGACTTGATTTTATTATTTAAGCAGATAATTTTTTTCGATAGTAAAATACTATCTACTCTAATACTGAATTTTGAAAAAAAAAATAATTAAATTTAAAAAATAAAAATAATAATGTTTTAGGTTGCCAGGTCTTTTTTTCGTTACCGATAAAAAGACCTCGCAACCTAAAACGCGCATTTTTAAATTTCGCTTTTAAAAGTGATTTCGTGAAATTGTTTTATAAAATGTAGTACAAAAATGCGAGTTAAAGTTGTAGTATAATCGATCTTAAATCTAAAAGCGCGAATGCGTGAAATCAACATAAAGCTCACATGATGTACCATATTGTAGTTTCTTTTTGGTCTCACATTTACTGTGGAAGTAGTTGATAAAATATTTACAATGGAAGATATGGAAGAATCCCATGTTGAAAATAAACATAAAAATCTAGCTGAATTAAGTATTCGGTCTCACAGAGCTGCTGACCCTCCGATATGTAGTGAGGTGAAACTTTTATAACAAAAATTTAACTAACTTCTTTATGACTCGATCATAACTTCTCGTTGTGGCGGAGTTATTCGAAGTTAAATATATTTTTATTATTAACGCGCTGTTATTTCATTATACTACGAACTATGTTACTTTTATAAATTTACAATGTAAGTTATATAAATTAACTATACAATTTTCATACTAATTCAATTGTCATGTTTCAACTTAGTTATAAATTTTTTTTATTACAAACATTGTTAGTAATATATATTCTGTATTGTTTTAGACGTTTCGTTTAGTATATCAGTATTTAGTTGTAAAATTTAGTAAGAATAGTAGTAGCAGATTATTAGTAGAAGTTTTAGTAAGATTAGTAGCAGTAAGATTTTAGTATAAACTTAAGATTTTAATGTTAGTTTTCTAAACTGAAATTAAAATTTTATATTTAATATAAAAGTTTAGTTTTTTAATACTTTGATAATAAATTATTTTTTTAAAACATGTGTGTATACACTATATGCATACATATAATATTGCACAATGTTTATATCTGTATGATATAAACATTGGGCAACATAAATAAAAAAAGCAAAAAAAAAAAAGTCAGCTAATAGAAAAATTGTTTAGCAAGCATTAATACAAAGAATTGATTTTTTTTTTAAATTAAAAAGTCAAATAATACCAATATATAAAATAAACAATAATGTTATATCTATATTTATAATGGAAATAAAAAGGAATAAAAATAGTATATAAAAGTTAAAATGTTCAAAACTTAAAATGTTAAAAACAGTCAAGAAAGTCAATTCTTTTAATCAAAGTAATTAAAAAAAGCAAAAAATATTTTAGATTTGATTCAGCATTAGACCGTGTAACATCAGGCACTTTATATTCATCATGCTTAGACGAATATACATCATATACTGTAATAGCAGTAACAGTATGAGAATTGTTATTTTTATTGCTTTTGACAGTATACCCTGTCTGCAAGTGGATTGGTAATAGTGGTAACTTCTTGTCTCTGGAGCAGTTTTGTCCTTATTAAACATTGGTTTTAGTTGTTGTCTATTTGCTGTTAATATTTGATTTTCTGATTGTATTAACTAAACCAAAACAAGGTGATGTCTTTTGACTGATTGTAAAAATACCCATTAATCTGTAATCCACAAATGTTATTTATGGTAGCATAGTTTTTAAAGTTTTTATAATATGCATAATAACTAACATATTTTATCAGTATCTGCTAAATTGTCCTTAATAAATTCTTCAATTTTTTTTTTTTTTAATTCTTATAGACAAAACATATTTTATCTATATGTTTCATACAAAAAAAATTATAACATAATATCTGAAATGAGGATCCTTTAAACATAAAACTGGATGTAATCTGTATTTTTGTTTATTCAAATTTTAGATTTGCAGTTTAATTTGTACTAAAAACTGATAGTTTGTTGAGGAACATTTAATGCTGCCTAAACTATTTATAAATACAATCAAATAGTAAGTTCCCATTTAAAGTAAATAATAATTATCTTTGTATTTATAAAAGGTGATTATTTTGTATTTACTGTCTGTGTGAATAACTGTAATCTATCAGTGTTTTGATTAAATCAAATTAATTCATTAAACTTGCTTAATTTTTTTATCTGAAAATGCTTTTAAACAGTCAAAACCAGAGTATTAGGCACATTAGTGCTCTAGAGTAGATCTATTGTTTACTCTTTTTTAAATCTTATAATGGTTAAGGTACTTGATTAGTTATTTGGTGTATTTATGGCATTGGTATATAATGGTATTGGTGCATTATTTTATATGGTATGGTAAAAATATGTGATATATTTTATGTTAGATATATGTTATCATAAAGTTTCATTCCGAGAAACTTGAAACACCAAGAGAAAACTCCAAATTTTATGTATATGTTTTGATAGAGTATTGAGTTAACCCTATAGTAATCAAATAGCTATGTCAATATAAATTGAAAGTTATCTCAAGAATTTAATTTAACCTGTGATGCATTTTTGGTTAGGAGTTTTATTAGTATACATTTATTTCTGGTTTCAAATCCATATACCATTGATGTGTCATTTAGTACAAAGAAAACCATGTACATGATGTTTAATCTAAAACAGAAATGTAAATATGTGTCAGGCATCTGTCCCTTATTTATTTTACCTTATTTAACATGTTGTGAATTAGTTTTTTTAAATAAGTTTAATAATCTAAATAAAAATAGTTAATATGCAAATATAAATAGTAATATTAAATGTTTATTTGCTTGTACAAATATTCTTATTAGCTAGGGTAAAAAAAACGCTTATACTAGTAGCAATGTAGATGTGCATACATTAAAAATATTACTGCAATAACTGTATAAACTGTATAATAATAAACTGTATTTTTAACTGTTAAATTTATCAATGGACCTTATATTGTACTTGTTGTCTGGATCAAATAAATGAATAAAATAAAATATACTGAATTTCTATACTTTGAAAAAGAGATATTAAATGAACTTTGATGTATTTTTTTATTAACTTAAAAGTAGTAAGAACTTAATATTGTTATTATTATTGTTATTATTATTATTATTATTATTATTATTATTATTATCTTAATCTTAATAATAAACAGGTTTCTTATTATTATGCAGTGACGTTATATAATATGATATAAAATGCATAGCGTTAAAGTAGTTAAATTTAATTCTTAAAAGTTTAAATTGTTTTTTTACATTTTTTTTCACCTATTCCTATTGTTTTATTAATTTTATTTTTTACAATTTAAAAATATTAAATAAAATACTTTTTAATAAATTTGATAAAATTTGTTCATTTATTAAATTTAGTAATTTCCCTCTTAATTTAAAAGCGTTTAGCGTAACTTAAATAAAACATTTTAAAAGATTTATTTCAAACGTAACAAAAAGTTTCGCTTCGAGTTTAAGTTTTTATTTTTAATTTTTGTTTTAATGCTTATATAATTTCTTTTTCGTTAATATTTTTTTTTTCGTTAAGAATTTTTTTTTTTGTTTATTTTTTTTTTACTTTTTCCTAGTTTAACTTAGTGTTTCTACATTCAGTTACATAAAGTTTAACTTAGTGTTTCTACATTCAGCGCATTTTTGAAATTTTTAAATCATCAAAACATATAAGCAATCGTAGTCATATTGTCAAGAAATATAATCATTTGCATGGTCAGCAATAGCGCTCGATCGCACGCCATTCCTGTCCAAGCCTGATACATTAAATCAGGGTTGGTAATTTTAATTAGGTAAGGTAATTTTAATGCCAATCCTAACCCTTACTCAGATGTATGTATACTCCCTGTATCTTTGCCCTATTTAAGTTTTAAATATATATAAGCAGCGCTCAAAATAAAGGCCGATCAATGATCAATGATTGGTTACTTTTAGGGAAATTTTGAAAAATTCAAAATTAAAAATAAATTGTTTTTGCGAAAAAATTACATTTGATCAGCAAGCTTTGAAAAACTATTTTGAGGGCTGTATAAGTTAGCTATATAAAAATGAGAGAAAATGCAGGGAGTGTATTCTCCATTTTATCCTTATTTAAGTCAGTCAATGTATGAGCTCATTCATTTCATTACAAAATATCAATTGAAAAAATTATTCACTGAATAAAATATCTTACGCCATGCAATATATCAAAATTCACAATGTAAAATATCAAGATAAAGTTTATCTTTCAGTTACCATGTATTTTAGGTTTTTTTTTTTTAATAGTTTGTATTGTATTACAAAAATATTTTTTTTTGTAGAAAAAATATTTATTCATTCAATTAGTTTTGGGTTGGGTGGGAGTTATCAAACATTCCAATATTTGGTTCCTATCTTGTTTATGTTATCACGTTTCTTTTTAAACACCAGAAATTAGCTCATTTTAAAGTTTTTTACCTAATGTAACCATTTAATTTAAACATTTGACAAAGGCAAATAATTGTGGACAGAAGTAGTATTGGTCATTACGCAAGACCTCGAAATACAGCAAAAATTTACCAAACAAAAATATACTTACAGCAAAAATTTGTAGGGCTGATTCCGCACCATAATAAGCTATTCCGCTTCCCTTTAAACAAATAGTTTGAACTTTTAAAGACCGTTCCACTTGATTTCCTATTCTACTTTAACCCCTGTGTATATATATATATATATATATATATATATATATATATATATATATATATATATATATATATATATATATATATATATATATATATATATGTATATGTATATGCACACAGTCAGCAAAATTCAGATCGGCAATTTGGCAATGCCGACGTAAAAGCTGACCTGTCTTTATTTAGGACGGTATACAACTGCCAATCTGAATACCCTAAAGTGTCGGCATGCAAATTGAAATACATGTAAAAAATATATAATATTCGTTAAATATTGTTTTATAATTTTTTTTATTGTATTTACTTGCTTTTCAAGTTTGACATGTTTTATTAAAATGAAAATTCAATCATTTTTTTTTTCAATTCTTTTTTTTTTCTCTTAAATTTATTCAAGCATAGCAAAGTTATAAAATATTACTTTTTAAATGCCTGTTGTTTTCACGCTTTTTAAACGCAATTATTATTTTGTTAAGTTATAAAGTCTAATTTTAATTTAGTTTATTAGTTAAAACCACTTAACTAATTAAATAATTTACATGTTTACGGTTTTTTTAATATTATTTAGAATCAGAAAGTGTATTAGGAAAATTTAGCCTTGTTATAGTTATGTTAGACACATGCGAAGAAGAAACATTAGTTACAAATTTTTTTTTTAATTTGATAAAAGTTTAGGCTTCCATTAAATCGCAACAGACACAACAGTAATACAGTTAGCAAACTCAAAACAATGTTTATATTGAAAATCATCACCCCTACTACTGGAGAATTTGTAAAACAAAGGTTTGACCCTAAAACATAGAAACATTTTTTTTACCGAAATTTTTTGCTGACCTCAAAAACTTCTAGATTGGCAGTTAGCTCGGCACTGCAGAATGCTGAACCTAATACCAAGGGTTGATATATATGTATGCATATATATATATATATATATATATATATATATATATATATATATATATATATATATATGTTTTTTTGACGATTTTTATTGCTAAAAGTGAACTTGGTCACAAAAATTATCTTGACACTATAAATAAAAAAGTAAGAACCGTGTTAAATTTAAACCAATGGAAAAATACCTCTGATGCAATCAAATGGTTTGAAAATATACCAGAAAAACAACATTGTGTTTTTATTCAACTTGACGTTGTCGATTTTTACCCCACTATTACATCAAAAATACTAAGTAATGCAATACTGTTTGTAAAAAAATACACAAGTATTAGCAAAGAAAACATCTGAGTCATTAAACATTGCAGAAAGTCCTTGCTATTTTTTAACAATGAAACATGGAAGAAAAACTTAGCACACGACTGCTTTGATGTCACAATGGGTTGTTTTGATGGTGCAGAAGTTTGTGAACTGGTGGGTCTATATATATTAGACTCACTGTCTAAAATAATAAATAAAGAAGAATGTTGGACTATATCGTGGTGATGGTTTGATCGTTCTTCATAAAAAAACTGGATTACAAATTGATAGCCTACGAGAAAACATAATTAAAGTTATAAAAAATGATCGGTTTTAAAATAGAGATTCAAACAAACCTACCCGCATTCAACTTCTTAGATGTCTCCTTTAACTTAGAAAAAAACTCTTACCGATCTTTCAAAAAACCAAATGAATATCTACGTTACATCCACACTGAGTCCAACCATCCTCCGCAAATAATAAAGCAAATTCCTATCTCTATCAACGACAGATTATCACAAAATTCCTCAAATGAAAAAATATTTAATTTATCTATACCAGAATACAAAGATGAATTAAGAAGAAATGGCTTCACTGGTTTTAATTTAAAGTAAAATCCCCAAAAAAGTGAAAAAAAAGAAAAAAAAGAAATATAATATGGTTCAACCCCCCGTATAGTAAAAGCGTTTCTACCAATGTCGGACATATCTTCCTTAACTTAATCGACTATCATTTTCCAACATCCCACCCACTTAGTAAACTATTCAATCGAAACACCATCAAATTGAGTTACAGCTGCACCAAAAATATTGCAAAAATTATAAAAAGCCACAACATAAAAATCAGTTCAAAAAAAACATTCAGAATAGAATGAAAGAAAAGATGCGCTAACCACAAACACTCATTCACTAACAAAAAGATGAAAAATTCAACCACTCTTTCAAAGTATATATGGCAGATAAAAGAAAACTTAAAAATAGCATCCAAATTAACCTGGTCAATAATTAAACAAGTCCCAGCCTACAGCAACATAACAAAAAAATGCTTGTTTTGTCTTCATGAAAAACTTTGCATAATATCATACAAAGGTATGCAAGAACTATTAAATAAAAAAACAGAAATAATATCTAAGTGCCGTCATGAAAACAAATTCTTGCTTGACAACCACGAGCCCAAAGATTAAAAAACCAAACCAAAAAACATTTTATAATTGTTTTTGAACGCCACGATGTTTATTGAGTATATTTTTTAACGAAAAAAACAATGTATTTTTTACCTGATAATTGCTAAACGCATGAAACATTTTGTAGTAAAAATAATGTAGTTATTTTTATTTAACCTCGTCAAAAAAAAAAAAAATTATATATATATATTTTTTTTATTTAGTGCAAAGAGCTAGATCTTTCATTTTTTGATCCAACTTGTCTAGGTTGTAGAGATCTTTTAAAAAAGTAAGTAAAAAGTAAGTTGTTTATGTTGTATTTTTTTTTTTTTTTTTTTGTAATTTTTATTATTTTTTTTTTATAATTCAACTCCTATGGTTGAAGGAACCACTACAATTGCCAATTCTATTTTGTTTTTTATTGTAGTTTTAATTCTCTTTCATCTCGATGACTTCCAAACATAAACAAAGCTGTTGCGCAGAAAAAAAATTGAGCTCTCTTGAGACCAATCGATAACTTATCATTCTTTATCACAGAATTTATTCAGCCAGTTGCTGAACAATTACCAGCATACTTTAAAGACACAACGCATTTCCTTAAACTCCTTCAATCTCATGTACTAGAAACCAACAATTACATTCTTGTCACGGCTGATGTTATATCTCTGTATACAAACATTTCTCATCGCGAGGGTATTGACACTGTAAAATTTTATTTAAAGAGAGCACCGCCATTTAACGGACCCATTAAACGCCCACCTATTGCTTTTATTACTTTGTAAAAAAATTTTTTGTATTACTTATGTAAATATGATAAGATCACAAAGAACAATTTTAAAATGTTATAATGTTAAGCGATTTGTGAAATTAATAATGGCCCCTTATCCAGTATTTCTTTTAACTTTTGGCATTAAATAGTTTATTTAATAGGGTTTTTTATCTTCGGATGAAAGTACCTAAGTAGGCTTGACCATTTTTATAAATTTTTGTTTGAACCATTTCTCTGTTAAGACATTGGTCTGTTAAGACCAATCATAAAATTATATATATATATATATATATATATATATATATATATATATATATATATATATATATATATATATATATATATATATATATATATATATATATATATATATATATATATATATATATAGACACTGTAAAATGACCCAAGTTTGGTTGCCATTTACGAATAGATAACATTTAAGAATAGATAATTAACACTTGTGCATAAGAATTGTAAAAAAATGACATTTATTTGAAATCTGCTGAAAAAATTCATTTCCACCTAATAATTCTTTTGTAAATAAAAATTTCAAAATTGTGCACATTATTAAAACTTCAAATATGAAACTCTAAAAGTATTGATAAAATTTATCAGCTTATCAATAATGATAAAATTTACCATTCGCATATTTAAAAGTCATCTAAACAAATTTGTTTGCTGAAAATAATTTTTGCTTTTTTTTTTTTTTTTTTCAAAGTTGTTTTAAGAGAAAAACAATATTAATAATAGAGTTCTATCCATATATATATGCAACAATCTCACAACTCCCAAAATGACAGAAACTGGTCTGTTTCAATTGAGTACAATTGGAAACTTGCGTGGCAAGCACAATTAGAAACTGTGCGTGCCGCGTGCAATGATTTTGTAAGAAAATTAAAGCTGGTCATCAAGGTTAAAGGGGATGTTATTCCAAAGCATTTACTATAATTTGTTAAGTATTATATCAACTTTTAAATTCTAAATGAAGTTTTTGGAAATATTGTTTAAAAAAAAAGATATACGTATTTTTATTTGTACCAAAATATATTAGTCACAGTGTATATTTATACATACATACAAATAATATATATATGTATCTCTTATACTGCTGGTTTAGGTAAGCAGTCTGACGTCATATTGAAATAGCCTGCTGCCGTGGGCAGCATAAATTGACTGAAAAATACATAATTTTAATACATAATACGTACATAAATTGACTGAAAAATAGCTTGACTTGCAGCGAAGTGCTGCTTCACCGACTGAGGGTTTGGCATGGTGCAGCAATCTTTTCTTTCATTATTCTTCGTTTTATATATATATATAACTTATATATATATCTCAGTTAAAATATGTACATAGATTTCTTTATTAAATTAATGCTGTTAAACTTCATTTCCAGTATAATATATTAAATGTTACTAAATATACTACTAAATGCTAAATTATCATAAATTAAAATTCAATTCAATTAAAAACAATTTTCTCATTTAAGCCCTCATACCACAGTTGCAGAAATTTTTGCAATTATTCGACAATGGGTTCCTCAAACACAACAAAACATTGACATATTAGTGGAAGAGATTCTTAATCGTGGTATAAACATCAATGATCGAGATGGTTTAACAGATATGAACTTATTACATTATGTTGCAAAGTCTGGAGCTATTGGCATGGGTGATATCAAAGTCTCTTCAAAAGTGGCACGTATGCTTATCGATAAAAGAATTGATGTGAATGCAAAATGTCGTTGGACAGATATGACACCATTGCACTTAGCAGTTTACTTTGACATTGAAGAAGTTGTCAAAATACTGCTTGAAGCATCAAGTTCCTATGGTAATTTTCTTATTTAAAAACACTAACTTTTTAATATATAAAATATTTTTTATTAATCAAAATTTAATCTTAATCATTTTTTTTTGTTTTACATTTTCTTATTGGTTTCAATTATTAATTTCTATTCAACAAATTCTTCTTTAAAGTTTTCGATCAAGACAGACTGTTAAAAACTTTTATCTTTTAGTTTTAATGTTCAAATTTTTTTATTATATTGTTCTTTTTTTTTCTTTTTAATCATATAGTTATAATTATAAAACTATATAAACTATATAGTTTAAAATATTTTCAAAACTTCTAATAATTATTTAATAATATTACTGCTTGCACACTATCAAATATTCTACGAGGATAATTTATTGCAATATTGAATATATGTCATTTCAATTAGTCTGAAATAAAGATATTAAGGCAGATAATTAGAAGAGAAGTAATTTGTAATGAAAAATGAAAAATTATTTGTAACTATTTAATTTAACTATTTGTAACTATGTAACTCAAAAATATCGGTTTTGTGGCTTAGAGCAGTTAAAAAACAGTAATTCAACTTTCTAATTCAACTTTTGTGTTTAAAAAAATAAGCTTTTAAATTATCGTATAAAAATATAGTGGTTTTGGTTTTATATTTGTTTTAAAAATTTTAGTTTTGAATATATTATTCTATATGTTACCATACTAATGTATAAATAAAGTTCTCATAAAGTAACATAAGGATCACACTTAAATTAATTCTAAAGAAAAAATATTGTGTGAATTTGTTGAAAAAGATATTTAACTTTTTTTTTTTTTTTATTAAAAATTTGAAGTTATCTTTTTTTTAGATATTGATTGTAGATGCAAAGAGTTTGATAATGGCACAGCACTTCATATTGGATGCATGAATCTGTCTGCTAAATCAGTTAAAATTCTTGTAAGCTTTTAAATCTTTCCACTAAATAAGTTATAGTTCTTGTTAGCTTTAGAATTTGTCAATTGAATAAGTTTTTATAAGCTTTTAAATCTGTCTGCTAAATCAGTTCTTGTAAGCTTTTTTTTTTTTTTTTTGTAATTTTTATTTGACTGTAAGGCCTGGTTATAAATCAATATAATCATTATATTTTTAGCTAGAGTATGGTTCTTCACCTTATGCCCAAAATTCTCTTGGCAAATTACCAATTCAATGCATACCAAATGGTTGAAATATTTGAATTCAATGATTACTTGTTTTTATTAATGTCATTTTATTTTTTTATTTTTTTAAATTCTAATTTTTCTTTTATAATCCCCTTGTTTATAGGTTTGTTGTTTTAAATTTAAAACATGTTTGCTTTAATGAAAATAGAGGGTTTTATATACAAAATAAAAGTTGTGGGTTTGACCATACATTTTATGTTGAAAATAAAACAAATCTGCATAACTGAAGTAAGCTTTACCATGATGACATATCTTGAATTGCATGGTTTCTACTTGTTGTATGTACTAATATATTGTGCAATATTGATGTATTATCAATGAATTATTGATGTATATAAGTTTTATATACATGTTGTATATTATATACATTGGTTTTAAACTAAAAAAAAAAGAACTAAGAAATAATTATTTCTTAGAGTTCCTTTTTAGAAATTGTGTTGTTAACTTTCTGTGGACCTGTTAAAATATAAGTTTTTAAGATTATTTAAACAACTATAAGCAAGAAAAATAAATATATTATCATAAGATATTAATTATTTTAAGATTTTTTTATTCTTTATATTATTTTAATTTAGTTGAGTTAAGTGAAAACAATTCAGAAGCAGAACATTTAGCATTAGCTTTAAAAAATGAGTTAACTACAGCAATGAAAGATACTGATCCTAATATTGAAAAACAGGTAAATATTTATCTTTTTTTTAACATCAAATCTCAGGTATTATCTTTTTCTAATTTTTTAATTTAGACCTTTATGTTTTACATTTAGAAATTAAATTTAGCTACCCTTCATGCACTTGGGTTAGAAATGCATGAAAAAGTAACTGTTGCTGGAAAAGTAAAATTCATTTTAAGTTTGATTTTTAAAATGGTTATGACAATTTTATTTTATTATTATTATTATTTTATATAGGTTGGCATTCTGCGATATTGTGGTTCAACAAACTTTGCTTCAGGCCAATGGGCTGGAATAGAATTAGATAAACCTTTAGGTAAAAATGATGGTTCCATCAATGGGTTTCGTTACTTTAGCTGTCCACCAGACCATGGTAATAAATAAGATTTTATTTCAAATATTCTAGTTTGGCATTGACCTATTTATTTATATGATTTAAAAAATTAAAATTAATTTCAAAATTGTTGCAGGTATTTTTGCTCCGCTAACTCGTGTAAACAAGTATAATAAAAATTGTGTTGCTCGCTTCTCTCTACCAGGTAGTTTTTTTATAATTTAATCTTCTAATTTAAATTTTTATTGCATTCATTCAGTCGAATATTATGAATAATTAAAGTTATTAAAGATTAGTCAGTCTTTGTAAGGTTTCTATTGTTTTATGTTTATGTTCTTTTTTATTAAAGATAGTTCATCTTCAGTTTCTACTGATATTCAAGTGAGTGTTACCACTGTCTGAAAACTTATAGTTTTATTTTAAAGTTTGTTGTCTAAAACTTTTTGTTTATTAACATTTAATGTTTTTATATAGTAACAATACATTTTTAAATCCTAACAGTTAGGAGATCGTGTTATTGTTGCAGGGAAAAACATTGGTCATGCTAGATATATAGGTCCTACAGAATTTGCTTCTGGGTAAGAAACTTTAATAAAAGAAAAATATTAAGTTTGACAATTTTAATTATAAATTTTTCAGATGTTTTAATGTATTAAAGAATTAAAAAATCAGTATATACAAATTGATTATAAGGTCCTAAAAAATCAATAATGTATCTAATCTCCTGAGTACTTAATCTAAACTTCTGAATACTCAATCTGTTCTTTTAAGTACTTAGTTTTCGTCTACTTAATTTATACTTTTGAGTACTCAATACAATCAATTGAGTTCTCAATCTAGTTATTTGAGTTTTCAGTCCAGTTATTTGAGTTTTCAAACTAATTTTAAAAATTTATACCATAACTTATACCATAAAATTTTGATTGGAAGTAATTTAATTTATGAACATAAAAACCTAATCTGAATATTTAACTATTTTTGTTAGTTATCTACAATTATTCTAGCTCTTGGATTGGTGTAGAACTTATTGATCCTGTTGGAAAGAATAATGGTACTGTGGCTGGTACTCAATATTTTCAATGTGAACCTAAGCATGGTGTATTTGCTCCAAGGAGTAAAGTTCAGCTGTAATAATTTACTCTCAGTTGATTCTGCAATTTTTTATATAAAGAAAAGATTTGTAATGAAGTTGTTTTATTTTGTTTAAGAGCAAATTTCAATATCAGTGAAGATTTAGGTATTTTAAAGTTGCACTAACTGTTTATTAATGTATTATATATTGAGTTTTTATTTTCATAGAATAATAATGATTTTTTTTTAGATTTAAATGAAGATAGCTTAACTGAGAGCCCAAGAACAACAATCAAAAAATCTTCACCCAAATTAAATTCAATGTTACCAAAGCCTAAAGTTGCAAAGTACAGTATATATGTATTATTTTACAATATACTTTTATATAATTACAATATAACTTATTATTTTAATAATATTGCAATTGTTATTAGTATTTTTTATATAATTTTATTTTAGTCTTGACAGGACATTGGGTGTTCAGTTGAACTTCACACTTACGGTGGTACTAAACTTATTTAATGCAAGATTTGTTTAATAATCTATACTATTTATTTTACTATATATTTTATTTAAGAATAATTTTGAATCTTTAATTATCAACAATAAAATTTTACTTGTTATTTAAGAAAATATTCTCAATATATATATATGTATATATATATATATATATATATATATATATATATATATATATATATATAAATATAGAGGCTTTACAGGAAGGCGTGCGAAAACATTTTTTTATATGACCACGCAAAAAATATGTTTTAACGATTTGACCATGGCTTTTGACATAATTTCAAAATTTAAAAATGCGCTGCAAAAACATACCTAAACTTATCTTAAAAAAAAATTGTAAAAAGAAAAAAAATCTTAACATATGAGAAAATAAAAAAAATATTTATTAAAGCAAAAATTCAAATATATATATATATATATATATATATATATATATATATATATATATATATATATATATATATATATATATATATATATATATATATATATATATATATATATATATATTTTATATATATATATATATATATATATATATATATATATAACCAACTAAAAAAAAAACTCATCAAACTAAAATGCTTATTCTATTTAATTTACACAATAAAAAACCATTCTTATCTTTGTTTTAACATTTGTACTTTTTTATTTTTTATTTAATATGTTTCAAAAGAAAAAACATTTCTCATAAAAAATACATAATTATATAAATAAAAAAATAAAAAAAACAGTTTATTAATTCTTATTTTAAAAATTAATTAAAAGTGTTTTGTTACTTCATTGAAAAGCATGGCAATAATATAAAAGCATTTAAGATCAAACTTATTTAACTGTAACGGCTATCTAAAACTTTTTTATTTTCAATGAAACTTTGTTTATCTTTTTAAATGTATTACCTTTAATTATTCTTATATTAAAATTCGTTAAAAAGAATAGTTGTAGAATGTCATTGTTTATAAAAACAAAACAATTTTTTATTTTTTTTATAATTTTTATTATAGAAATGCACACTTAAACAATTTATATATTGTAAATTAAAAAAGTATATACAACTGTCAATTATATTTAAAAAAAATCGCATGCCTTCATGTGAAAGCCTGAGATTTTGTATGAAAGCTGTTAGTCTAAAGAATAAAAAAAGCTAAAAAGTTTTGAGTTCGGCCAAAAGATGGCAAACTTATTACTGAAAATGCCACAACTTATGTTACACAGAAAACAAGGTAATAATATTGTTCCAATTTTTAGGTGAGATTTCTGCAAATAAGTAAAGTGGTTTCTAAAGGAAACTTTTACATATGTTGAGAATTTATATTATGTTGAGAATTCTATACCAATTAAAAAAATATATAAAATATATAAAAATTTATCAGAGGTGACTGGCTAAGGAAAATAAACTGTTTTTTTTTTGATATTATATATTTTACATTACAGAGCGATTATTATTGTGAATTTTTTGTATCTATTACTAAGAGTTAGAATTATGTAACCAAATAATTGCAAAAATATTTAACTCATTCATTAAAAATAATTACTGAAAAGAAATTTTAAAAAACTGGTGGCACTCAGGTATTTTTCATAACATTTATCAAAGTTATCAAAGCAAAAACAGTTTTTCTGTAAGACCAAGAGCAACTTTAGAAAATTATTACAACTTTATTAATACTTATTTGAGTCATTTAAATAAGAAAATCTTGGGTTTGTCGAAGTTTTTACTTACACTTCTTATGTTTATGCATATTGCCTTATTTTCATTAGATTGAATTTATAAAATGCTGCAAAGTGTTTACATTTAAAACTGCTATGACAGTTTAGGAGGTAGAGGGTATATGTGATTGTTTGTGACAGGAGGGAAGGGGTTAAGAATTGACAAATATAGTGTGACATGCTTTATGGATGACCCCCCTTAATTGCATTTACAAGCTATTTGTTTTACTAAAAAAGGTTCTTACTGATTTTTTCTATATTAGGAGAATAGCAAATAAATCTTTTGTTTTTTAAATGTGTAAATAAAAATGTTTATATAATTCTGATTTTTATTCATTTATGTATATTTATATATCAACCAAAATAAGAATACATAAACAAATAAAAAAACAATAATATAAATGATTTTATTAAATTAAATTAACATTAAAAAAATATATATATTTTGTATCTAAGTTCTCCTAATACAAAAAAGTTTTAGTTAGAACCATGTCAAACCAATGCAACGAAATAAGAATTTCTTAATGATGTAATTCATTTTGTTAACGAAAAAGTGCCAGAACTTTAGAAAATGCATGTAGTGTAAACTTACGTTACACAAATTGAAAATAAAAATGTACTTTAACTAAGCATCGTTTTTTCAAAACTATAAATGTAAAGACATAACATTTAATATTCTTTCGCATATATTATTAAAAAACTTAAGTTTTTAAACTTAATTTTAGAACAAACAAAACTTTATCATGTTTTTGTTAATTTAAAACTTTGTTAACATTACATAAAAATTGTAAAAGTTCTTTCATTAATTTCTTGAAATATATATATTTTAATTCCGATTATGCAAATAAATTTATGGTTAAAATAACATTTGCCAATTTTTTATCATCCAATAATAAGAAAAACCTTAACTTTTGGAAGCATAAAAATGACTTATATAAATTAATTTTAGTACTAAAGGTATATTTTAAATGTTTATTTGTCTACATCAATATTCATTTGCTAAAAATTATATATATATATATATATATATATATATATATATATATATATATATATATATATATATATATATATATATAATAATAATAATAATAATAATAATAACACCTAACCACTATCACTCAGACAATTAAGCACCAACTCCATTGCATGTTCTCCCTATATCAGTCAATATATACATTGAGGCACTCACATCTCCCTAAATTAGTATGACAGATTGCCAATCGCAATACAGACACTAATCTAAAATCATATAGAAGTATTTAAGGTATGGACTGTTTTAATTTATGAATTAACAAAAAATGGTTAAAAAAAGAGTATTTTATATATATTATTATTTTGTACTAGCTGTTCGGTCTTGTAAAATACAGTTCTTGGTAAGTCTTTTTCACACCAACCTAATTTATACTTATTCCTTATTTCAATATTTTTTAGTAAGCGGTAGAAAAATAACTATATACTTATAGATAACTATACATACTATTTACCTTTTAAAGTTATTAAAAAAAAATTCAATATAATTAATTTTAAAAAATTTTAAATGCTTCTGTAGCTGTTGCGCTAATCTCTATTTATCAATGCATCCAATATAAGTACCCGCTTGAAATGTGTTGAATAATTACAGTTGCTATAAAGTTTTTGAGAAACATTTGAAAATAGACTTAAATACATGTGTAATTGACTTACCATGACCTGTATAATATGAGTAAGGGTAATTCTTTTCCTCACTGACTATTTCTATAATTATTCTTTATATAGTGGTTTTATTTCAATGATTTTATGATGTATGTAGTAGAAAATAAAAATCTTTGTTTTGATTTAATGTTCTCATTATAAAATTGTATGACTCAATGGCGATCACAAATAATACCGAATATGTATTATAACTTATATTTTTAAGATCTTAACCATTTTTTACATTAACTATATCACTTATAATTTTTATATTTGCAAATTGTCCTCTAACTTGCCCAATCAAAAAATGGTTTGGAGATCATCTTTTATATCAGCACTCTGATACGTTAGTTGGCGAGAATTCAATAAACTCTCAGTACTTGTAAATGTTGTACAGAGTTCTTCATCTGTAATATCGGCTTTTTCAAGTATCCCAGTCACTGCAAATTTGACAGCCTTGACCATTAGTTCAAATACACCGCCAAGATGAGGTCCTAGCAGAGCATTAAAGTGAAACTTAATTCCTTTATCAGCTGTAGAGATAGTAAATTTATTTTTATCTAAGTCGTTGACAATTTCTTTTAGTTCTTGACATCCTCTAACAAAATTTATTCCATTGTCTGTTAAAACTTCGAATGGTAATCCTCTTCTATTCACCATTCGATAAAAGGCATTGAGAAATGAATTTGTATCTAGATTATAAGCCATCTCAAAATTTACTGCTGGTGATAGTAAACAAGCATAAGTATCTCTTTTGTCATATCTTCTCTCTACCTTGCATAATATGAAATGGACCAGCAAAATTGATACCAATCCTAGCAAGCGCGCGTAGTGGTTCTTTAAAACACATTGCTGGTAAAGGGATCATTAGCTATTGAGCAGATTTACATCTTCTTAGTTTACATTTGTTGCATTTTGCTTCTGCATCTCGGATTTCTTCTCATCCTCGTATTACCCAATATCGTTCTGAATAATTGATTTGCTCCCATCACATAATTGGCTTTGTCATGGTAATATTTAACAATCAATTTTGTTATTGTATCTCCTCTCGGCAAAATGATTGGATGCTTAACATCATAGAGTAAGTAATGGGCATTTTGCAATCGACTACAAGATCGCAATTATCTGTCTTTGTCAGTTTGCAGATTTAAAGAAATGATTTTGCGTGATACAGATATCGGTTTTCCTTTTTCAATGTTGCTATATTCTTCTTTAAAGCTTTCTTTTTGAGCTTTAGCTATGATTTCTTTTTCGCTTTCATGATATTCATCAGCTGCTATATCACCTTTTTTTTTTACGAAAGTCTGTTTTAAATCAACAATATTCTATAACAATGACCTATTTGTAACTGTTGAAGTTGTTTGTAAACATCTGGGAATGTTTATTTTTGGGAAATTTTTTTTTTTTTTTTTTTTTTACATCTTCACTTCCAACAAGGCTGCAAGCAACCACTATAAGAGTTGGAAGTTACTGGAAGAGAAAAGACTAAAACTGTAGAGCAAGATAACGATTGACTGATGACTTAAAAGATTGCAAATTATATGAATCAGGAAAGCAAGATGAAGGAAGCGAATTCCAAAGAACTGATGTTCGAGGAAAAAA